TAAATAATAAAAATATGCAGTCCTATACTTGGGTTAAAATAAAATTCTCAGGTACCAGAGAGGGTAGGATTTTTCTAGGTAACGATTCATGTGAAAAGGACCAGGGTTTTTCAATGAACTATGAGGTGGCAGCCAAACAAATCTAATTTTAGGCAGCAGTGTCAGAAGCTAAATGTGGATGATGGGTGGTTATAGTTTTGCTGTCCTCTGCCCCGGTTAGATCACATCTGGAAGCAGTGTGGTGGATAGAGTACTGCCCTTCAAGTCAAAAGAACTTGTTCGGAGATCTGGCTGTGCCACTTACTGGCTGTATCCCTTCTCTGGGCCAGCTGCTTTGTTCACCAGTGGCTGGACTAGATGATTTCTAAGGTCAGTCTACCTCTAACATTAAATAAGTATGATATTCAGTATGGGGCGTCATTTCAGGAAGTAAAGCTGGAGTGTGTCCAGACTGGGGGCAGCTAGTATGGTGAGAAGATGCAAAACCATTGTATATGGTTTTGATCACTGTATATGACCAGCTGAAGGAACTGGGGATATTTATCTTAAAGAAGAGAAGACTGGGGGAAGTGGGAGTTGACTTTGAAGAACTTGGAAGTCAGTTATTTGAAAGAAGGGATGAGATGAGGCTGAATCTGTGGGTGCAAATTATAAGCAAGCAGATTGATTTGATGACAGGTAAAACTTCTCAGAATTAAAATGAGTTGCTACTTGAGCTGTTGAGTTTTCCATGATTTGAAGTCTTTTGTTGGAGGCTGAATACTTGTTGGGGATGAGATAAGATTCCATATTGAGGTATGGGTTAGATCAGATGACCCTTTGGTTCTTTTAAACTCTTGAGGTACTGTGTTCTGATTCTGAAGGACATTGTTAGCCCCCCTCCATTTTGGGGAGAAGAGGGTAAAATTCCAGGCAAACTAAGACTTAGGTGTTCTCTTTATTCTCGTAGCCCCTTTCATAGCAGGCAGAGGACAGGGGGAGAGGTGACTTTGAGAAGAGGTGGCATAATAGCTGGCCTTCCTGGAAGCTGGAAGATGGAGAGGTTCTCATTACAATGGCTCCTCTCATCTTAGAGGTCTGGTCTTAGACTGTATGAAAAAAGCCATTTAATCAGACCTATCTAGTGTTTAATAAATGCATGTCTTCTGCTTTCCCAGTTTCTCCATTAGCACCCTCTCTGCCAACATCAGTGTGTTCCCCCCCCCTTTGGCTAGGCAATGGGTTAAGTGACTTGCCCAGGGTCACACAGCTAAGTAAATGTTAAGTGTTTGAAGCCAGATTTGAACTCAGGTCCTCCTGACTCTATCTATTGTACCACCTAGCTGCTCCCAACATCAGGGTCGTTTTATCACGGGAGAGCAGCAGTAGTTTGAATTTACTCAGCTGGAAGTGTGCTTGCCAGTTCCTGTCGTAAGTCAGTCTCTCTTCCTTCTGCCTCTGTAGTGTTGTTTGATTTGGACCCTAATCACTCAGATTCTCATACCTCTACTTTACTGAGGAGACTGAGGCTTATCTATCATGAACTCCCCCATCCTCTGTTACACTTGACAGTTTTTCTAAACTGTTGTCCACTTTCTCTTTCTTCTATTCTCAGAGGACAGTGGTCCTATTTGCTCAGTTTTTCCACTTGTGCCCTTTCTGATCCTATGCCCTCTCATCTCTCCTTTCGCTGTACCCCTCTACAGACATACTCAGATGGTCTCTATCCTAAAATAAAACACTGCTCTTGACTATGGCATTGCCTTAGGCTACCATAGTTCTCTTTCCTTTCACTGCTAAACCTCGAGGAGCAGCTTCATCACCCACTTACTCCTCAAGCATGTTGATCTAGCTTCTGATCCTTGACACTGTTGAAACTGCCCCATCCATATTAGGCTGTCACTAACCTCAGATGGCACATCTCAGAGCTTTGTGTCTTTACTCTCCTTGACCCTTCTGCAGTATTCGCATTGCTAAATACCATTTCCTTGTTGATACTCTCCTGGTTTTCCAGCTACCTGTCTTCTCCATCTCTTGTTCTAAATGTGAGTGTTCTCCGAGGTTTTAGCCTTAGCTCTCTCCTCTTTCTTCTATGACTTACTCTCCATTCCTGATCTCATTCATTTCCATGACTTTTATTATCACTGCTATGTTGATTCGCCCTCTTCCTTTTCAAATTACCCCGATTTTTACTTGGGAATCATACAAACATAGACCCAGATCTGAAAGGGATTTCAGAAGCCCTGAAGTCCTACACTCATATTGTATAGTTGAAGAATCTGAGATCCAAGGAGGCTGACCTGCTCAAGGTCAGGGATGAGATCACTAATGTTAAGAAAGAACTACTAGAAAGAGGAGTGGGCCAAGGCTAAAACCTCGGAGAACAAAGGTCAGAGGTGGGATTTGAGCCCAGGTTCATCAGAATCCAGACGTAACACTCTTTTTCAGTGTGTAAATCCCCTTAGTAGAATGTAAATCCCCTGAGAACACACTTTTGTTCTTGTATCTCCAGAACCTAGCACAGTGCTTTGCTGTACATAAGCACTTTAATGCTGAATCGAGAGGACTCCCAAATCTTTCTAGTCCTGATTTCGCCCCTTTGTTCTGGTACCTTGAACTCAACCTGTCCAGAAGACTCCTCATTACACCCAAACCTGCCTTTCCTTCCCTATTTTTGTTGATGATACCACCAATTTTGTAGTTGCTCATAAACCCGTCAACTGATTTCTTTTCCCTCATTTTATACATTTAATTAGTTAAGTTCTGTAAATTATACTTTGGCAGTCCCCTGTTTGTGCTTTCCACTGCCACTGCCACTTTAGTTCTTGTCCTCTTTTTTTTTATCGTGGAATACTGTTTGGCTTGACCTCCCTCCTTCCCACCCACCTTTCACATAGGTGCCAAATTAATCTTCTAATCTGAAGGAGTGATCACTGCCTTTCTGAAACTCAAAAGCTAACAAAGGTGCATCCTGTTGCCTACTGGAAAAAATATAAACTTGTCCTGGTATTTATGGCTTTTCACATTTCTGCCTCCAACCTACTTGTTTAGCCTTACTTCATAATACGAGTATTCTACATTACAGCCAAACTGGATTGCTAGCTGTTCGACAATCTTGTCCTGTCCATTCTTCACATTCTCCCAACTTTTTCTGTTCCTTCCTTCTTATCCTTATGATTAAAATTACTTCACACTTCTGCCTGTTGAAAACCTCCTCTTTCATGAGGCCTTTGCTTATCTTCCCAGTTAAAAAGTAATCTAGCCCAACTCTTATTTTATTGGTAAGGAAACTGAGGTCCGCAGAGATTAACTGATTTGCCTAAACCAAGGGTGGCCCTCAAGTGTGGCCCTCTGACTGAATCCAAACTTCATAGAACAGATCCCCTTAATAAAAGGATTTGTTCTGTAAAACGTGGACTCAGTCAAAAGGCCACACTCGAGGACCTAGAAAACCACACGTGGCCTCGAGGGTGCAGATTCCCCACCCCTGAGTAGTCTGATTCCCTTACTGATGAGGAAATCAAGACCAAGAGAGATGTGTTTTGCCCAGGCATTAGTGTTGGGCTCAGATACTTCTAGTTACCTACTCAATTCACCCAACTAATTAAGCCTTCCCTTCATCCCCTGCTCCAACAGTACTCTATTTAGTATTTCTCAGTACTAAACACTTGCCCCCAAACCCTGCTCAAGCACCTTATCTCAACAGCATCGTCAGACTAGCTAATCATTCTACCTCCACAATGCATCGGGCGCGTGCTCGAGAGCACACAGTTCAAATTTTATACAGGGTGTCCCAAGAGTCTGAGTGGAGTTTTAAGCTGTTAAATCCATTAAGCTTTAATAAAAGCTGAAAACTGCACTCAGACTCTTGGGACACCCTGTATGCACAGTTGTTAATCAGCATTTTTCTTTCTTTCCACCACCACCCCTCTGCCATGTTTTTCTTTCTCACACCTTTAACACCATATGTCAATGGAGAAATCTCTATCTCATAAAAGAGATTACTGAATACTAAAAGTAAACACCACCTTTGCCATTCTTAAAATCAACTACATTTTATTTTCACACAACAGGCTCAAACTTCCTAAACACTTGGAATAATACAATTAATGCAATGATTAATTCACAATTAAAAGTCAATTCAAAACCCCAAGTATCAACTGATATAACCCTCCAAATGTTTCTGAACCCAGATTTTCCAAAGTCATTTTAGGTTTTGGAAAATTAGTCAGTATGGAAGTAATTTACAGATTAAGTGTTGAGAAGCAAAGTTTTCATTGTTGTCCAACCAATGTTAATTAACACTTGAAAAGTTGAAAGTAATGCAAAACAGTTTGAAAAGGCAGCCAGTGGCATACAGGCATATTTCACATAAGGTTGCTTGATAACATCATTAATACACTATAAACAAACCCTACTGCAAAGTTTGTATTAACATCAATTTGGCTGGTTCTTCAAGATTGGCAATGGGATTGGTCTAAGCTAATTGGTCTAACCTGTAACTGTTTCAGGTAATGTTTTTTCACAGAACAAATATTGACATTAAGTGGGGTATGCCTACACACAGGACACGTGCACTATAGTTAAGCCATTGTGAAAAGGGCCAGTTAAATGTGATGTGTTGTTCATTATCTTTATGTAACTAAGGTGAAACAATTTAGCACTACTGTATTTCCATATAATGAACTTGTTTTTCAAAATGCTCTCCTAGTTTGCAAAATATCTTGCTTAGGTGCCAGGAGGGCTCAAATGGTAGTGGTGGTTGTAGGGAAGTAGGAGGGTTTCGGATGGGAAGGTGTTTGGAAGGGAAGGAAGAGTGAATGGCAGTTTTTTATAGTTGTCCACTATTTCTGAGAGAATGTGGCTATTTTAAAGTTGAGATCAGACATTCAGGTGTGGGTGAGCCTTCCGTTTTTGTCATTTGGTTCCTCTTGAAGAACCCAAAGCTCTAATTGAAACTAGAGCAAATAAAATTTTCCTTGTACACCATCCCACAGTAACACAAAAGAGAGACAGATAACTGCTGAGCAGCCAGAATGTCATGATTTATTAATATCTGAAGAAATTTCATAATTCAAACACAACCAACCTGTACATTTTACAATCACATTCTATTTGTAAACAGTTAAAAGCCACTGACTTCTTTAGGATCTTGGGACACAGACATTTAGGATCAAGGCAATGACATGATGGTGAATTCTGCACTGTTAAAATTTTTTTTATCCTTGTTTAGTCTCTTTGCACTGACTAAGCAAGCATTCATTATAACACCGTTTGTGGCAAAAAAAAAAAAATAGAAATAAGATCGTAACTCGTAACTTTTGCAACAATGCTTTGAACATTTAAAATTTTTCCTTTATACAACAAACGATTCTGTAAGCCCAAAAGCTTGGTTACAGGTGCATAGTTAACTGAACTCGGCTTTAAGGTACGTACAACAGTCAAATGTTAACACAGTCACAGGAGAGCAGAAACAGAGCCACTTGATGGGATTACAAAAACTGTAATAACTACCGTATATTAGCAAACCATCCTCACTAATAAAAAGACAGCATCGGAAAGCATATGTCAAACTCCAGCTTGAAGCATTATTTTTTGGCAGAGAAAAGTCTTACAGAGCAATAAGTAGTATCAGTGCTAAAAGTTGGGTTTTTTTTTTCCTATAAGAAACTACAAGGAGTTTTAACTAGGGAACTGGTTTTCCTGAGAACCATGCTCTTTGATTTAGGAGATAAGGATAGAAAACAAAAGAACACGGCCGAACGCTGCTCCTTATTCCCAGAGATAGAAAGCATCTTATCATCCTCCATTCTTTTTTTGTTTGTTTTTTTAAAATTTTTTTTTTAAGTGATGGAAGAGTAAACATTTTTCTCAATAAACAAAAAACAAAATTCTGTAAACAAGAGGACCCGACGCAGGGACCCTCAAAACAAAATGGAAAGCCTATTGAAAGTGCAGGACCCTCCTGGCTCGCAGGCTGGGTTGCAAGTCACAGCTGTGGCCACAGTTTTTCAAACTGTGTAGCGAAAATTCTTTAGTTTACACGCGAAAAAAAA